TGGACAAAGCCCATGACCTGCTCGAGGATGCCTTGATTCACGGTCGCTTTGGGCTGATTCAATGAAGGGCCCCTTTGTAGAGTTTGTGGAGCACTGTCGATGTCTACCGTTTCCATTTGCAGAGTATCACTGCCAAGTCTTGCGCGTATAATATCTAGTTCTATCTCAATGTGGTCCATGATGTAGTCTTGCCATAAATATGCATTGTCTTAACGCTCACGAGCACGCGACGTGTTCCAGTCCTGAAATTATATATAGGGTCTTGAGAATGGCAGACAAAGGCTTGTACCGATGGCACGCTTGCACAGTATTTCACTTAAGTTCACTCAAGACATGGCCATGTTCATTCATTGACTTGTACTTTACATGACTTCAAGAACGTATAAAAGCTAATATATCGAATGGATTGGCTAGTATGTGCTTCCTTAATTAGCAGCCGGGACACCGAGAGAGATCATGTAGTGTAGGAATCGGCCTTCAGCGATAGGCATTCCATACCTGGCCATGCGCATGGAAAACACGTTGGCTGAATAGGGAGGGCCGCAGTCGAGAAGTCGAGGCTGCGGGTCTTTGAAATGTGATATGTGATATGTGGCGCGGTTTGTGGCGTAGTAAGGGCGTGTGCGGGCTTACAACTCCGCGATGTTTCTGAGACTGACCCAAGACTCACCTTGCCATTATGTAAATGGGACTCACGAAAACCATCCCGTACCAGCACCATGTAAGGTCGATCCTAAAAAATTTGGGAGAAAAGATGTGATGGGCACAGATTTAAAGTCGTCACAATCGTATGCTAATGGCAGTACATTCGCAAATTATACGACAGTCGACGGACTTGAAAACAAGAGCTAGACCGTAGCGTCAAAGCCGTACCACCTATCTTTTGCCTCTTTGAATACCTTTGCCACCTTCAAACTACGCACATACATGATGGATGGGATACAAAACTCCTCTGCCAGCCCAATGCCAGCTTGATGAATCAAACTTGACTCGGCATTTGCGAGGTCATGATCAAAGATGTCCGTAAACGTCAGACTTGTGAGATGGCACTGGGAGCGAATGAGGAAATTCCACAAGAAGTCGACTTTCCCTTCCAGCGGGCTGGTGACGATGAGATCGGTGAGAGCGGGGAAGGTAAGACAGTCGAAGAGCTGGTCCATCTCGTAGTCGTCTTCGGCGAGCCATTTTGGGTTGACGACGAGTGCGAACAGTAGCAGCTTATCGGAATTGATACGGATGGTGCTCCAGCTCAGGTTCGGCTCAACCACTTCCTCGGCGATCCACAGCTCGGCGAGATTTGGTATGTGGTCAAAGATAGCTTGCATGCTTAACCAGCTGACGTCACTGTCTCCGTACATGTCGATGGTCAATGAGCGCAGATTACTCCACGTACGAATCTCGAAGAACGACTCTATCTGATAGACGTACTCGGTTCGTATATGAAGATGTGTGAGGCGGTCAAGGAACTCGGAGGGTGCACCAGCGGGAGGCCAGTCATCGGAGTCAGATCGGACGTCGATGCCAACGTCATCAAGGACGAGGTGGGTGAGTTTGTCGAACTGAGAGAGCCACTGGAACAACTCCACAAGGTTGCTTGGTAATCGCGGCTGCACGACATCAATTGCCCGTACAGCACTGCTCGCGGGGTTTATTGGCAGGTAGTCCATGTTAGCATCATGACCTAAGCTAGCCGCCCGCAGGTCAAGGGTAAGGAAAACGGGGAAGCCTTCTGCCTTTTTAGTTAGCTCGAAAGGAAATGGAAGTGTGGTCAACAGAGGTTTGGCCTTGAAGCTCCATGGATTCTTGTCCACGGGCGCAATGATGACCCTGTTCCATAACCTCGGAGCCCCTAGCGCGATATCCCTCCATCGTCGAGAGACTTGGGCAACATTAAGATACCCAGATGCACTGATTTTGACTTTACTGTGATGGTGAAAGTAGGGTATGGAAGCCTCATGCTGAGGTAGACGAGCAGCCTCCACGGTGCCATTAAGGATGAAGATATCGGATAAGAGCTCCGGAGGGATCCTACCTACAGGGGAAATAAGTCGGAGATGAGCTTTGTGAGACCGAGTCAACGATTTGTAAAGGTAAGTGAGTGTCGCAGAGATTGCCCTCATATTGCTCATCATCAGCGATATGGCGGAGATCACAAGGTTGATTCCGCTTTTCTCCTCGTCGGTTCCAACACTGTGATTCGTTTTTGTGTAATGAGCGTAAGGGGTGCTCATGGCACTCTTAGTACTATGTTAGCAATACTAGATGATGAAGGACAAGAGCCTTGGACGTACAGAAACATCGTGTTCAAGTTTGGGGAGCTATGCTTAGTGTCAAAAGCTGCAGAAAGCACGGCAACGATGGTTTGGCACCCACGAGATTTGATATGGCCTGGAGAGTTGCAGATGCACTCTGCATCTCTGGGAAATCACCTTCAACGATGAAAGCCATAACTGTATCGTATAAGTCTGAGTTCAATGTTCAGCGTTTAGGACAAGAGTAACGAGTGCTGCGCGACACCATGGTTTTGTTTACGTCAACATGTCTCACGACAGGACATCCGCTCACCCCCCGCACCTCGAACCCTTCGTATGACCTAGCTGCCTGGTCGACAGCAGCTAGTTAAACGTTACAGATGGAATTCTAAACTCTTGTCTAAAAATTGCCTCTGCTTTACTAATAACAATAACATCAATTTTCTTCGCCTCCCTCAATCTCTAAACCGCTCTCGGGGATATTGACCAACGCAAAGCTTCGCAAGTGCAAGCCGAGATGAGCCAATAAGCGGCGAAAGAGCTCCACATTAGCATCTAGAGGGCTGGTCCTGACGAGGTTAGAGAGCGCAGGAAAAGTAACAGCGTTGAAACGTTGAAGAGCGGTCCTGTTGCATGATGGTTTACTGGGGAATCTGTGTATGTGATGGCTGAGAATTGCCGTAAAGCTCGAGACGAAAGGCTACTGGCTTCAGCCGCCCAATCGTGACTGTCTTCCATGCAGAGGGAAATAAACAGTTCGGCGATATCTGGAGCATGTCTGGAAATCATCTGTAGATTTTCAAGAACGTTCAACCGATTGACTCGGGTGCTTTGTGCGCGACACTGCAGACAAACTGTGATTTTTCTGTTACAAAAAGTGATTGAAGAAGGCGGACAGATGAAAGCCTTTTTCACCCATCTTTTGCTGTGCGAAAAGTTACTGAAAAGTTGAACTTTTGCCTCGGAGTTTGCATTTCTACACGGAGATTGGTTAGAAACACGTCCAAATAGGGAAGGTAATGTCCTAATTCGGTAACCCATCCATTTTACCAGCGCAAAATTGATGCAAATGTCAGCCAAAAGAATACCTTTTCCTGTGCAAAAAAGTGTTCCAAAACTCGGAGGAAAAGGTTTTCATCTCGCCGTCTCTTTCTCTCAGTTTAATCCCGGGTAAAATCGCCGTTTGTCTGCAGTGCGAGATCAAGCCGAGGAGTTGAAGCCGAAAAGGGCGGACTTTCAAGTCAGAGACAAAAGCTCTGGTCGGCATTATCCGGCATGTCTCTCCATATCAGCGAGTTATATCGGAGATAGAATTGGCAAGCCGAATCAAGGAGTGATCTTTTTGCACAGCATTCCGCCGACCCTCCAAAAGCCACTCGAACTGGAGAAGACCACCGAGGAATGGCCGAAAAGGCTGGCTATCTCGATATCAGCAAGTGCCTTTAATGGTGGCGGGCAACGCCCGCCAGCAGCGCGGAGCGCTGACATAAGCAAATAGCCCCTGACCATGCCCGACAGATGACCACAAAATATACAAAGGAAACCAGGCATTGTGGCTGCATACTTGGCTGGGACTAAATGATATAGAAGTGCTATATAGTACTTTGTCAGAAGCTTGAAGCAATCCCATCGTCTATTCATGAGATATGCCTACTGCTGAGTCAATATCTACACTTAAAAGTCGGAAATTCGCAAAACCCTTCTGTAAAAATCTTTAAAACACCAATTAGTATGACTTCACTCGAGAACACGAGGTAATAATTGAAGCTGTCGAGCCGGAATATGCACCAGAGACCTGGGTCCCAACACGCAAGATTAGAATCACGTGATTACAAATGAGCGCGTCCAAGCCGTCGCGACAGCAATAACAGCCTCAGGACGGAGGCAAACGTGGTACGACAGGCCCAGCATTGGTTATATACCCAAGCCTTAACCTGACTCAGCTCAACTAGATTGAATAAAAAGGGTTTAAACGACTTTACTTCCATGTATGGGCCAACAGACTGCAACATCAAGATCCCGCAACTGCAGCAGCTTATGTTGGTCCGCGAGACACGAGACAAGGATGTAAACTACTTCAAGTTTTCTTCATAACTTTCAACTTAAGTCTTGGCCCTTTCAAGACGTGTAGATGTACTGTCTCGCGACCTTTGTGCTGCCAAAGCCAGGTATTCAACACTAAGATATTTGCCAAGATCTAATGCTCTTATCACGCACAATTACTTATCTTTTGCTTATATATCTGAGTTGTCCATCTATATACGCACATAAACGACGCTCCTATGTGGTTTTTAAGTGGATCGCATCTGTACAATTCGGTATATGTCGAGAGTGAGTTCGTGACAGGTTTTCAGACAAGATAGGGGTTTTTGACTTATGTAAGCGTCCCGCGCTGCTGGCGGGCGTTGCCCGCCACCATAAAGCCTTTAACGCGGTGCGAAGCGATCCACGACTTCCATCGCGCAATGCTCCACAGATAGTGAAAACAGGCACCCTGACTCATCCACAATTGGCTCAGCGTACGACGGTCGGATGCTCGCAAGTCGCTCCCATGGTGTTGGTGGTGGTCACAATCTGGAGCACACCCTTCAAATCTACTGTAACGAGCAGACCATAAGTTCCCATCCCGTGTCCCACCGGACCGGGAACGGAACTTAGAGGGTGGGACAGTCCCATGTGTATGGGCGTCCGGGAACTTAACTAAGGGACACTCGGTAGAACCACGAAAAACATAGAATTTGAAGTAAAATAAAGTGTGTGCATGCACTAGACGATATCCTAATGACCTACGAAGTCTCCGTACTTCTTGTTTGACACACGGCGCCGCTTCCTGCGGCCAGCTTCATCAGATGACGGCACCTGGACAGTTGCTAAGTCCACGTTGACATTGTCTACCATGCCAGGGCCGGAAATGGTCGTTTCGTTGGCGTCGACAGGGTTGAGGATGCGAGCCATGAGGTCGTTGGGCTGTTGCCAGGTGTCATCATCGAAGTCTTCACCGGAAAAAGGGGTGTCGAGTTCGATCGGATCCTGATGATCAGCTGGCGTCACAGTGGGAACATCGGGGGCGTCAGGGATAGAAGGAGAGATCCGATCCCACAGGGTTGGGTCAGATCGAGGGATTTCGCGAAGGATTCGGAGAGCGGAAGGGCTCGTGAGCGAGTCAAAGGACAGGCTGAAGCCACCTCGGACTGTGCACCGAGAGAAAGCCTGAATGATCGAAGTCAGAACTGCGTAGATAAAGAAAGAAAGAAAACAAAGACTCACCCCGCGTACAACTTCGGGCTTGTTGATGGCCTTCCAGCCATTGAGAACCCACGCAACCGAGCGATCGCGCTGCGTGGCTACCTTAGAGTCGAGCCTGAGAGTGGAGGGATCAGCGCCGGCCTCGAGTTGTTGAAGGGCTTCGTTGACCGTGTCCTGGAGCTGAGATCTCTTGATGGCTAATTTGAA